CACCGCGCGTCCTCTGGACAGGGGGAGAGACAGGGGTGTCAGGGCCGCCCTCTCACCGGGCTCTACCCCCCTGCGGCCCCCCTCCAGGGCAGGGTAGGACCCGGCACCCAGGGCTGGCAGCCCCAGCCCGCACGCACCCATCTGCACAGCCTCGGCCACGTGCTGGGGGCAGAGAAGCCGGAGGGTCTTCATGGACTGGAAGCAGCCGGCAGCGGCGGCGCAGGGGAAGTGGTAGAGGCGGGGGCAACCGGCCGCCTGGCACGGGATGGTGGCCCCCATCCGCCGACAGTGTTCACATTTCTGAAAGCAGAGGAGCCCGGCGGGGTCAGAGACGCTCCCCCGGGCCCCGAGCCCCTGCCACCCCCCACCCTCCCCGGGCCCCGCTCACCTGTGAGATCCCTGAGAAAACAGCTCCGTCCACGCCGGCCAGCCCCGCCGCCTCCTGCCCCACGCCAGCGGACCAGGCCGCGCACCAGCGGTGGACCCAGCAGTGCCCTGTGGGGAGGAGGCGTCAGGGACGGGGGGGTCCCCGGGCCGGGCAGGACACCCAGGGCGGCGGGATGGGGACCCCGGGACTGCGACTGCGCTCACCCGTCGGCTCAAAGAGCTGCACCGGAGTCACCCGCTCGGAGAAGCCGATCTGTGCCAGGTCGTCGCCTGCCGGCTCCGGCCCCGGGGGCGCCTCCGCGCGCGGCCGCGGGGGGGGGCGGCCGGGCCCCCGGGGGGGGCTCGCCCCCCCCCAGCCGCTCGGGCCAGTCAGGCGCCGGCTCGAAGCGCTGCAGCTCCTGCTGCCCATGCAGGCTCCAGTCCCCACAGTTGCAGAGGGCGCAGCGGCGGGCCGGGGTGCGGGGGGGAGGACAGACAAGGGGTGTCAGGGACACTCAGGACCCCCCCCAAGCTCCACGCCTCCCCCGAGCCCCCCAGTCCTCACCTGCGGCCCTGGGGAGGTCCCTTCGTCTCCGTGCTCTCCAGCTCCGGCCCCGCGGAGGCTTCTTCAGGGGGTTTCAGGGGGTCGCCCTCCGCACTGCCCATCTCCTCTGAGGCCACGGCCCCATCGGCTGCCAGGAGAGCGGCCATCAGCCATCGCGGAGGGGGGGACAGCACCCGGCACCCTGGGGGGACACAGCGCCAGCCCCCCCAGCACCCTACCCTGCCCCGTGGTCACCTGGTGCGTCCGCGTCCTTCTCCTCGCTGGGCGGCTTCTGTTCGTCCATCCTGCCTCCGGCGTCCCTCGGGGGAGGCCCGCAGCTGCGAGGGGGCGAGATCCGTCAGCGCACGGGCGAAGGGGCCCTTCCCCAGCCCCCCCACCCACGGGACGTGGCAGCACCCTCCGGCCGCTGCCGTGCCACCCCCCCCCGGCCGCCCCCCCTGAAGCGAGTTTGCGGGGTCTCAGCCCAGCCGAAGCGTCCCTCCCCACACGTGCCGCAAGCGGGTGGCG